TTTTTTTTTCATCTTAATTTCATTTTCATCTTTTTCCCTCCTGCGACTAGGAACCTAAATACCTTCCTTTCATCTAACTCCTTATTCTTTTATTTTATCCATTCATTTATATTATCTATCTTTATTTACTTTCTTTAAGCAAATGTACGTGGAGCGATCGCAGGACCAAGGACACCCAAGGACCTCCAGCAGACGAGCTTCTTCAACAGGAGTCCTACAGCTATTCCGGGCGAAGGAGGAGGAGGAGGAGGAGGAGGAGGAGGAGGCGGAGGAGGAAGAGAAACGTCTTGGTTAAATGCGTCTTCGCCTCTGTCCGCCGTCAACACCTTCAAGTGTCAGAGACATTCCACGGGGGTGAGGTTCTGTCATATTTGTTGTGTAAATGTTTTTATTTATTTATTTATTTATTTACTTGCTTCTTTATTTCTGCTTCTGTCGACCTGTGCAATAAGCTTTTTAACAAGAATTTGTATGTATTTTTTTTTACTGTCGATGTATCTCGGGTTTTGCAAATGTATTTCTTGTAATTATTTTAGGCTCGTGGATCCCTACATTTTGACATCAGACTATTTATGCAATATTCGCCAAACTCCTCAAAAAAACATTATCATGAGCTGCATAACCATATCTAAGTCCTAGAGACAGTATCCGCCAATTCCTTCGATATAAAAGCATTAGGAAAAGCTAGATCAGTAGCAACTGGAAGGTTTCGTGGCGTGTTTTGATGATTGTGTATTGAGAATATAACCGTTAAAATCATTATTTTCCATCCTTTTTGAAAATTGAAGTGACCAAAAGGATCGACCCTATTCACAAAGCCTCCGTAATTGTTGTGACGTCATCAAAATAAACCCCATGTTCTCCCCCCCCCAACAACACAAAAAAAGAATCAGATGCCATGACTCCTCCTCTAGTTGCTACTGATCTAGCTTCCCCCATAAATTCCCATAAAGCATTACCATGACCAGCATTACCACCTCAAACCGCCTCGTTCGGACACCTCGCAGGCCATTCTCATCGCCGACACTCCTGCCGGCCACAGCCCTCACTCTGGCAGCCCCTGTGGTGCTACTCGTCGCTGTCAACGTGCGAGTGGCACTCATCTGCAGCCTGTGTGTTGCTTCTTTACCTTACGCTAGCTGGCACCTCCGAAGTTCGTGTTCCTGGGCGTGGCACTGGCTTCGGCTTCGAGGGGTTTCTCCGATACGACATTCCTCGGACACGCTTCTCGGTATCACGAGTAAGTTGTTGTTATTGTTATTTGAGCTGATGCAGTCTTGTTAAGTTTCTAATCTGTAGTGGTTATTTAGAGGTTATTTTTATTAATGGTCTTCAACAAATGGAATGGAAGAAAACGAATGAGGTGCTGGTCCTTTACCCGAGTCACCTGTACCGTCTGCTACCAGTATCTATTCTCCAAACTTTATCCATAATTTTTGTCAGTCATCTATCTTTGTTTTAGTAATTTATTTCACCAATGCATTCGAAAAAATAATAACGACCTAAACAAATAAACCAATAAAGGTAGACCCAGAAGCACTGTATCAAAAGGTGTGTGAAATCTGGGTTATCTGTGTTACATTTTGCTATCACGTGGTCTTGCGTGTTACTGTCTACCGTCGTTACTGTGGTTATTAGCAAGGTATACAGGCCTTATCGCACTAGCACTATTTCCGTTATTTATTGCGTTTCCGTATGAATTTTTTTGTGTAGAAATGGTCTAACCCTATCGCACTACTACCTAAGAACACGAGCATTCTCATACATATCACGTTATTTTAAAGAAACGTGATTATGTATGCTGTGTATAGAAATTTTCTTAAATATTAACTTATGTTTACATTAAATTATTCTTTTCTAATCAGCATTAAAAAAAATCTTGTATAAATCCCCGTAGCTTAGGATTAAGATAGAAACTATTCAGACGAAAACGGTCCCAATCGCCTTTAGTCCGAGAGGCGTTATTTGCATGCAATACTTGCGGAAAGATTCAAATTCAGAAGGAAACGCAAAAAAATAACGGAAAAAGTGCTTGAGTGACCTTTAGAAACATCTGTCAAATTTGCATACCCCAAGTAACACAGTTCCCGAGTAAATAAGTAAGAAAGAGAACCAATTTATTACTTAATAATGTCGCCCATAGAGATATAAAAAAATCCTGGTGAACCGCACAACCTCGTGTTTTGAAACTAACCGATGCTTAACCCTATTAGTATCCGATGTCACCCGTGCGCCACTATTTCGTAATTCTTTTTATTTTATTTATTTATTTACTTACTTACTTACTTACTTACTTACTTACTTACTTACTTACTTACTTACTTACTTACTTACTTACTTACTTACTTACTTACTTACTTACTTACTTACTTACTTACTTACTTACTTACTTACTTAGTTATTCATTTATTTATTTATTTATTTGTAGAATTATGTTTATCTTTGAATTACGTCTGTTTAGGTTAACTAGGTACTTGAATACATGTCTGAT